CCCGAGGATGCCCTGATCCCCCTCACCAAGAGAGATGAGAACAAACTCAGCAGCCTCCTCAAAAGGCCGTACTTAAGCAGCCAACCAGACTGGCAGAAAGAGGTGAGAGGAATGTGCTTTGAAGTAGGGTGAAGGACAGAGGTTGCATAGAAATTTGTGAGATAACATGCAAATGTGCAAAGACTTTTTTTATGCCTCTGTGCCAGAGACAGCCGTGTTGAGGCATTTGTGTGTTGTCTGTTCAACCATCCCATTCTCATGAATGCCATATCTCAAGAACGCCTTGAGAGAATTTATGAGATTTTAGTGGTCAAAGGTCAAGTTAAAGTTCACTGTGACCTCATGTCTGTCCCAGTCTCATGAATGTGATATCTCAGGAATGCTTTGAGTGAATTTCTTCGAATTTGGCACAAAATCCACTTGGACTCAAGAGTGACCTGGTTACAATTTGGTGGTTAAAAGTCAAAGTTTATTGTGAACTCACAAGGCACATTTTCCGCCATAACTCAAGAATTCATATGCTAATCATAACAAATTTGACACAAATGTCTGAGAGCACAGTCAAGCGAGCAAATGCAGGCAAGTGATCATCGCGTGCCAAGGCAATAACGTGAGCAGTGTTGGTTGTGGCGATAACAGAAAGCTACCATATCATATCATATTTTGCTGTATTTATTAGCAAACTAGCTAATGTTAGCTAGTTTGCTAATAAATACAGCGAAATACAATGATATTTATCCATTTTGTTACATTCCTCACCTGTGTCCTGACTCACTGCCAGCTAGGCAGCATCTGTCATATGGGTTAGTTTGTATTTTCATTGCCAGTGTCACAATGCTGGTTAGACACAACAACAATCAATGTCTTCACTGCGCATATTCCTTTGCTATACGTTAAGGCTGTGACTGTCACCAGTCAAAGCACCAAAGTGGAACTCCACACGATGTGAAGATGCAAATTTGCTTTGTCATGCGAAGCAAATGTTTTATTCGCCCCTTCAATTGTATTGAATAGAAGTGCACGGGAGTCGAATATTCGCCAGTGTTAATTTCGCTTCTCATGTGACCATGCCCTGATAGAATGAAATGAAGAATCGATGACATTGTATATCCAAAAGGTCAACTTAACTGTGACATCTGCAGAAACACTTTTTCAACACTGTAACTCAGGAACACAAAGGGAGACATTTGGTCGGATGGTGAATTGGTGTTGATCGTGTAGATCTTTGCTGCCAGGTTGAAGATGTGTCTGAAGTATCCATGTTTTAGAATATGTAGCTTGTTTGGATCAATGTCCATATTTGAAGCACTGTCAGCTAGAGATGTGTCATATCATCTCATTCAACATAATACCAGTATAATTTTTTATGTGATATGAAAAATTCACATCATGATACTTGCAATATTTCGACTTGTTGACATATTGACGTCATACTGTTACCCACGGCAACAATAAGCATGACTGAAAGCAAAATTATTACCAACTCTGCGGTGGTTCCAAAAAAGAGGAGCAGCTTCAGCAGTGTGGAATAAATCGTGGCATCCTGAATGTTTTATGAACAGTCAGCAACGGACTTCTCAGACTCTTTTAGTGAGTTACCGCTCAGAGGGAACTCATTCAGCGGCTCCTCTGGCAGCAGCACAGCGTCTCTCCCTCTCCTCTCTTGCTGTACGCACATGGGAGTTGGTGTCTTCAAGTGATTTTGTCATAAACCTTTGGTAATGTAAACCTGTGTGATGCTTACGGCTCAACAAAAAACAACATATATATTAATATATGATAGTTGTGGTATCATAACAGCCTATCACAGGTAATGAAATGAGAGATTATTTTTGTTTAGTGTTTACTGAATATTTGAAGGCAAATTGTAAAACTATATCACTGATTTTACTGCAATGCCATGTTCTTAAATTAATAAAATATTATTTTTGCTCATTTGTCATGTTGTCAAGAATATCCTTATCACAAAAATACCCTGAAATATTGTGATATTATTTTAGGGCCATATCGCCCTCAGCTATTGTCAACTGTCATGGCTACATATGAGTCTGGACAGACATGGATGTAAACGGCAGCTTGACTGGTTGGTGGAGGCCCACAGTGCAAGGCCGTAATTCTAATGCTTTTTTGAGTCGTGATTAGTTCTAATGAAGCACCAAAATATTTGACTTGAGTGTTAACCTTTACCATGTGATTTTGAATAGTAAATATTGTCTGTAAAAAGAAACTGCTGTGATAGATAACCCTGACCTTCAGTACCACACTCAGCCTACTTGGTAAAATGTTGGTCTGAAGCACCTTGTTCCTTTTTGAAAAGGCAAATCTGTTCCTCTTCAGACGTTTACACAGTTTTAACATCTTTGGTCATGTGACACGCAGCGTAGGAATGTGTGTGAGAGGACTCTCAGCTCGCTGGTATGGAGGAAACAGAAGAGCCTCTCTGTTGTGGAGTGGCTGTTGGAGATAAACACCTGATGATTTATGCTTGTTTGCATGGCTTCCTCTCACATGCTCCTTAAAGCTGTGTTTCTGCTCTTGTTGTAGATGGAACTGATGCAGCAGAGTAAAGTCAAGGCTGAAATACAGTCCCTAGCAGCCATAGCTCCTGATTTCCTCACCAGCATCTACCTGCCCAATAAGCTGCGTTATGGAGGCTGGGTTTGAGCACAATGCTGCCACCCAGTGGAATAAGAAGGGAACTGCTGAGGCTGCTGGCACAACTTGAGAAAGCTCTTCCATGTAACTGACCTGCCTGACCTTGTCAGACACAGAAGTATGACATTAAGTTGGTTTGTAATGTTTGCATATTTGTTAGTGACTATGTGTGTTTATAATTTCCAACTGTGTTTCAGAGACGTCTCATCCTGTAATTAAAACCCTGTAATTCCACCGACAAGTCAGAGCATGTTTCTGGTCTGTACAGTTACTTTGCCTTTGTTTATATCCCCAAGATGTTTGAACCTGCTGGGGCAAAGTCACCGAACACGCTACGCTGATCTGTTTCATTCATGGATTTAATTATTCTACAATTGTTTCAACATTGTCTGCGTGCTTTACAACCACTGAACACCGCTGTGCATGCTGGTGCAAAGACTGTAAGACTGGAACTGGAGTATCTGTGGCTGTTCATTCATTAATGCACAAAGTACAAAGACTCACACTGCTGCTCTTTGTGTAATCTGTTCCCCAGCAGGTGGAGACAGCGCTCATTAAAAGGGGGGAATGGGGCAATATTGTGAGCCAAGACCCCTCAAAACCATACTCATAATGTGGGTAAATTATCTTCACAGACACATTTTTGAAAAAAAAAACACTGCTTATATGTTTTTGAACATAAAAATGGTCTTGTGCTGAGTAGAGCAACTTTCAACTATTATAGGTAACATGCATCACTGCTTGTCAGCCAGGTTTAAGTCTTCTTTTTAGAGCACTGGTTCCCAAGGCGGGGGTGCCGAACTCCAGTAGGGGTCGCCAAAGCTTCAGGAGTTACTTAACCATTTGAAACATGGAGAGGCATCACTTTTCTTGTGCTGCTTTCAGACGCCTTTCGCAAGTATTCACACCTTTGAGCCTTGAGCAAATTGGTGTGATTTCTTTGAATAACACAGGAACAAAGGCAACAAGCAACTTGGTGAGAAATGTCCCACAAATGAAAAAAAAAGCTAGAGAAAAACTGTATTCATAATTATCATTACATATTTGAAATTATTATATTTTTTATGGTCTTTTACCAGGTCTTTTCTTTTTAATGTACTAATTTTCTTGTATTCATTTTCTCTTTTTGATGATTTCTTGCAAATTTTTGGGGTCAATTCTGTTATTGCCCATTGCCTTCTTCCCACATTGTTGAGAGAAATCAAGCCTACTTACCTCCTAGGTTTGGAATCAATGTAGAAGAAGGCCATTTCATTTTCATTTTTTTCTGTGTTCGTCCTCTTTACGTGTTCATTTATAATTCTGTAGTTTAAAAAGTTGAAGAAACATCTGTTGTTTATGAGATCAAAAAAATGGTTGCTTTCAGTAAATGCACAGGAACAGTGGGTCAAGAACCCCAGCAAGACTAGTTACAGGCTCTAAAAGCTGCCCTTTACCACTGGAGGAAGAGGTTGAGCTTATTTGAACTGCATTATATATGTTTATCCAGTCAATCTATATCAGGGGTGTCAAACATACAGCCTGGGGGCCAGAATCGACCTGCCGAAGGGTCCAATCTGGCCCACTGGATGACCTTGCACACCTAATAGTGATTCCAGGAGCAAGTTGAACTTTGAGTTGCTTTTTTTTTCATGTAAGATGCCAGAAACCAGAATACAGTTCTTTTCTTTCACTTTAGTTTGGTGTGGTGATGTCAGGATTACCACACAGGAGGCGAAATGTACAGAAAAATGCACATGTAACGACAGCGAGTAGTCGACTGAGACGTGTTGTTGAAATTGCATTTATTCTTTTGAAGACATCACAGGCTGTTTGTCATCTGTTTTGTAAACAGATCAGCGTTTTTAGAATGTGCATCTTTAAACAACAAAAGAGACAAATTTGGAGGTGTTTGTTATTTATGGGACATTATGCAAATCGACTGTATGTGGCCTGTGAACTAAAATGAGTTTGACACCCCTGATGTATAGCGATGCATCATACTGATCACAGCTTATGTTTTTTTAGATTAACTCATAATCTCAAAAGTGGGTTTAAAAAAAAAGATAGCAGTGAAATAAATTCTGTAAAGTAAAATGTAAAGAAGTATATAATTAAAAAACAAAACAAGTAGAGACACCAAGTAAAATACCTCAAACCTGTGCTCAAGCAGCCTATAGTACTTGGGTAAATGAATTTAGATACAACCTCTTAACTTACTACAACTCCACAGCACGGTAGGCTAAGCAAAAACTTTTTAAAGCAAGTAGTTTTGTGTGTAGTTTAACAGGCGTAGAGTACTTCCTGTTAGGAATAGACGATCTCTGGCGGTATTACATGATCGCCGGTGGGCGTGTCTCCATGATTGTGCAACATACTACAGCTACGTCACCGCAGTGACTGAGGTGTTGTAATTTCTCCAGTTGGAGTTTCCTCAACGTTGAAGAAGAATCGTCCTTGGAAAGCGGCCGAGGAGCACGAGACTGAGCTGCATTTAAATTATAGAGGACACAAATCAGGTGGGTTAATGTAAGATCTGAGTGAGTGTAGATACAGCTGAAGGGGGCAGCATGTCATGTGGGCCTGTCTCATGTCCAGCTGCCTGAGGATAGCATAGGAACTGTTGTGTGTGACCCGGCCCCTGTTTGGTAACACATGAGAAGATGGGGGCTCAGTCTGTGACAGTTCATGTATGTTTCATGCGAGCAGCAGCTAGGTGGCTCCTCGTCTCCTTCGTTTTAGGTAAGACCGCACAGTTATGGTGGCAGGATGAGTCCTTGAGAGGCCTCCCACTTGTCAAGGACAGCTGACTGCAGAAGAGGGTGAATGAAAGTAGTCTCTGAGGGCTTTAAACGTAATATACGTCTCCGGTCTCACTGTGGAATCAGTCATGTTTCGCAAGACGTTTTTCATCTGTTCCGTCAGGGTGGACTGGGATGTGTTCAGGTAAAGGATAATGACTGGTGTGGCACTAGACAGCTGAGAGACAGGGAGTATTTTATAGGATCAGCTGTGGATGTGTGTTCTGCTTTCCTTCAACTTTTTGTTGACAGATTTTTTTTCTCCTTTAGGTCAAGAGTATCTCACATGGACGCAGTGATCCGCCGGTGCCCTTTCCTCACAGTTGTTCCCAGTGTTGCCCTGCAGCTGGCCGGGAAGTCATCACTGCTGAGCTATGCCCAAAAATGCCCCGTGATGATGGACCTGGCCTCAAGACCTCTGGCCAGAGCTCTGTCCTCTTCAGCTTCAGCTTCCAAAGGCACTCCAACAAATGACGGTCAGTCTTAAACCATCCTGTCATGACTAACTGTGATTTGGACGCAAACAATTCTTATTCAATAGACAGATTATAATTTAGAAATGCACTCTCATGTTCTGTAGATCCAAAGCATGAAGTCAAGCTGCCCCCGGGTCACATCAAGCCACCTGCGGGCCAGGCTGTCGGCTCCAAATGTCCTTTCCTGGCTGCAGAAATGGTGCAGAAAAATAACGGGGTGGTAAGAGAGGCCAGTATGGTGCTGCAAGAGGACGTCCAGGAAATGCACTCTGTACGCACAGGTAAGCAACTGCACGGCCACACCTGCAACTGGAAACCCATACAGTAAGTTATTTATGTGCGAGATCATTAAAAGCGTGCATCTTTCTCAAACAGGGAAAAGAGATACGAGTCTGTCAGTTATGGATCTTATCGAGGCAGACAAAGTCAACTCAGGAGCACCAAAAAACCTTCTGAAACCCACGTCTTCCAGAGTGTCTCACCTGCTGAAGGACAATCTGCCTGAGGGTAAGAAAGACACACTCTTCTTCATAAACAAGAGTTCTCAGAGGGATTTTGTGAAGCTTATAATCCTCCTCCTATATTTCCTTCATCAGCTGTTACCTTCCAGTACGACAAGTACTTTGAAAAGAAGATTGAAAGCAAGAAGGTGGATCACACATACAGGGTTTTTAAGACGGTGAACCGATGTGCCCCCTCGTTCCCCATGGCAGACGACTACTCAGAGTCTCTCCATGCAAAGAGGGACGTGTCTGTGTGGTGCAGCAACGACTACCTCGGCATGAGCCGTCACCCCAAAGTCACCCAGGCCATCATGTGAGTGGGCTTACTGATCAGCAGTCACCCATAACCCCAAGATGGCCTGATGAAATATGAGAATAAGCTACTTTACAATAATAAACTTGTTTTTTTCTTTCAAAGGGAGACTTTACGTAAGCACGGCGCTGGTGCAGGAGGCACACGAAACATTTCAGGGACGAGCAAATTCCACGTGGAGCTTGAACATGAGCTAGCTGACCTGCACAATAAGGATGCTGCTCTTCTGTTCACTTCCTGCTTTGTAGCCAATGACTCCACGTTGTTTACTCTGGCAAAAATGCTACCAGGTACATTCAGCTAAGCGTGGAAATATTTAAACATTTGACTTAAAAGTTCAATTCCTTTGCTTTGATTTAGAATTGTAGTGCATTTTATCACATATTTTCTTGATTCACACTTAAATCCTTAGCAGATAATTGATTTTTTTCATTTGCTTTCTCTTCTAGGTTGTGAAATCTACTCTGACGCCGGCAACCATGCCTCAATGATCCAGGGTATAAGGAACAGCAGGGTCAAGAAGTTTATCTTCCGTCACAATGACGTCAGCCACCTGCAAGAGCTGCTTGAGAAGTCTGACCCCTCCACTCCAAAGATTGTCGCCTTTGAGACGGTGCATTCAATGGATGGTGAGTACACAGCCTTTCAAGTGTCAGTCTTATTAAACAGGGCAAGATTTATCATTTATTTATTCCTAATTGATGTGTCTTAGTTAATTGTTAGGTTGCAAATGACGACATACGGGAGTCATGTACAAAATCACAAAAGTGTTAACAGTATTTTTCAAACTTAGTAATGAATCACCAGTGTGTTTACAAAGCTTTACATAGCAAGCGTCACATTCATGCATTTGCTGCCCAAATGGAAATGTAACATATGCACATGTATTAAATATCCATGTATGAAATATGTACAAACTAATAGAAATATATTAATATATGACTAACTTATACAAATATTTTACTTAATGTATTTATTATACATTTAACATCATATATGTCCATATACAATTATTTATACACAAATTACACATATATATATAAATTTAACTGAATAATAATTAGTTTGAAAAACACATGTAAGCATAGACAATTTTTATATATATTTAGTTTTCATTAACTCGCCTATATGAATTAACATATATGGTCACAACATAAAATACCGTATAAATATGCAACATATCGATATTTTTAATATATATACATATATAATATATGCTTATATTGTAGACATATATGTTATTTACATATATATCCATCCTAAGCCCACCAATATATGTTAATATTGTATATGTTAATGTAGAAGACAGAAATGTCCATCAAAAAATAATAAGAAAAACACATATAAGCACAAAGAATGTTTGAATATATGTTGTTTTAATAAAGTTCCATATATAATTTGAATATATATTATTAACATATAAATAACACTGTATAAAAACGTATCATGTAGATATTTTTTACTACATACATATATAATGTATGCTAATATTTTAGACATATGTTATATGTTATCCATCCCAAAGCTTATCAGTAGATGTAATAAAAACAATAATAATAATAATAATGATAATGTATGTTGTTTTCATACATTTTCATATATAAATTAAATCTATATTGTTAACATATAGGGTAGCAACAAATAACACCATATAAAAATGTATTATGTAGGTATTTTTATGCACATCTACAAGTTACACTTTGGGTATTTCTTATATGTTAGAACTTAAATCTTCATAAATCCAGATGATGTATGAATATGATGATAAATGTTGCCTTGTAAGTAACATATATGGCAACATAACTCTTGATATAGGAGCATATTCTGTATGTCATATATTATTATTAGTATTATTAGTATTGTTGTTGTTGTTATTGTTTGTTCTTTATTTTATTTGATAGGGACAATTAGATTAAACATAGTTCCAATCCAAAGTATTAGTAGAAATTATAGCTGTTGCTAATTTTCAACTCTTGTCCCTAGAGGGGCTTTTACATGTAGGCCGAAACTGTTATTAAAAAAAATGACATTCCCATATGGGTATGAAAAGATAAAAAGTATCTGTACTTTTATTTTTATAAATTAATTTAAATAACCTAATAAATGCTGTGCTCTTTACAGGGGCGGTGTGCCCACTAGAGGAGATGTGTGATATTGCCCACAAGTTTGGTGCCATTACCTTTGTGGATGAAGTTCACGCTGTGGGCCTGTATGGGTCCAGAGGAGGAGGGATCGGGGACAGAGACAGAGTCATGCACAAGATGGACATCATTTCTGGTACCCTTGGTGAGTAGAACCCCTCACTGCTGAGGGGAAACCTCTCGTAACACCTTCAGTGACATATGTGCCTCTCTGACTTGTTATGGGTTCTGTTTCCAGGCAAGGCATTTGGCTGTGTGGGTGGCTACATCGCCAGCACCAGCACCCTGGTGGACACAGTGCGCTCATACGCTGCAGGCTTCATCTTCACCACCTCCCTGCCCCCCATGCTGCTGGCAGGGGCCAAGGAGTCCATCAAGGTCCTGAAAAGTGAGGAAGGCCGGGTGCTCAGGAGGAAACATCAGAGGAGCGTGAAGCTGCTGCGACAGATGCTGATGGACACGGGCTTTCCTGTGGTCCACTGCCCGAGCCACATCATTCCTGTCCGGGTTAGGAAATTTATCATTTATCCCTCAAAGTGTTCCACGGACTTACTTGGGAATCTGTCACTGGCATAGTCTCTTTGAAATCTGACATATGATGTATCTGTTTGTCAGGTGGCGGATGCAGAGAAGAACAATGAGATCTGTGACATCATGATGTCTCGTTACAACATCTACGTCCAGGCAATCAACTACCCCACTGTGGCCAAAGGAGAGGAGCTGCTGCGCATCGCCCCCACACCTCACCACACTCCCCAGATGATGTTCTACTTTGTTGGTATGTCCAGTATAAATTATGATGTCTGTCTAATGACTCAACAGTATTTTGTGTTTGGTTGAGCAGTCATAAACTCAGTTAATATTATAGTTATTAATATTATATATACAGTGAGACAAGTATTTCATTTCAAACCCAGCACAGTTTTAAGGTATATTTAAATCCATAATTTATTGCAAAGATCCTCAGCTGTTCCTTCTCTACTCCGTCTCCACAGACCGGTTGCTGAAGACGTGGAAGGAGGTGGGCATGGAGCTGAGACCGCACTCCTCAGCAGAGTGTGACTTCTGCCAGCAGCCTCTTCACTTCGAGCTGATGAACGAGAGGGAGAAGTCGTACTTCACAGGCCTCAGTCACATGGTATCAGCTGTAGCGTGACATCACATGTAACACTAAATACCAACAAGCCCCACCTCAGTCACAGCACACCCCACCTCGTAATATTCAAGCTATTTATTACATTTACATTGAACATATCACGGCTAATAAAATGTTCTGTGTCAGCAATAAATTTGTGTGTAAAATCTTAATGTTCTGTGTGTGTGTTCCCTTTTAAATGTGTTGATTATGACTCACACAGGAATCACTTTAATTTATGTGTGAAAATGACTGAGTGATAAAACCAGGTTCTCTTTGTGGGTACTAAAGGCCCACATCTTCGCCCATCACTTACACCTCAGAGCGCTGCTATCCTTGTTATTGCTGTATCCCAGGTGAGCTTCTCTGGAAATACTGCGTATATTTTAGAGAAATGCTCGCAGCGAAATCATCTTCTTAGGAAACTCAGCAGCCTTGGTGTTAGATTTTAAGAATTAGTGCACCAAACTATGGTTGAGAGTGTTTTAAAGTTTATCTGTACATCCAAGAATTAACTCTCTAGGATTGCGAGGGTCATAAGGACAGAGGGATGTTGTATGCTGTAAAGCCCTGTGAGGCAAATTGTGATTTGTGATATTGGGCTTTATAAATAAAATTGATTGATTGATTGATTGACAATAGCAAAATAGTAAAATAGTTGGCAAGCCCCTGACCAGAGATGGGCAAAAATACATCAAAATGTATTGTACAAAATACAAAATAACCCTCAAATAAATGTATTAAAATAAAATACAAAATACTGGTGCCAGAAAATGTATCAAAATAAAATACATGTATTTTGTATTTTCAAATTCAGAAAATACTTTTTTTCTTTTTCTTTTTAGCAGCGACCCGCAGCTCTATAGGTCACTCTGTCGGTCGGTCGGTTGGTGAGTCGGTCGGTCGGTCAGTCCACAAAGCTTTTCATGAATAACTCAAAAATTCATTGACCAAAAATGCTCAAAATTTGCACACTGCCAACCAGAGACCATGAGTAACTATACCAGAAAGAATGTCCACGATTCGTCCATAGGTGGCGCTATACTAACCGATTCAAATCTTTTTGTGAATAACTCAAAAAGTCCTTGATCAAAAAATAATCAAAATTTACATGCTGCAATCAGAGACCACAAGTAACTATGCCAGAAAGAACAACCATGACTCATCCATTAATGGCGTGATAGTAGAAAATTTGGTCGCAGCTATTGCAAATTTGCACTTGTTTTCTCACAATTTGGTGTAAAAATATTGTTTATTGATTCAGATTTAGATTCAGACAGCTTTGTTGATCCCACATGAGGCAGTTCATTTGTAGCATACTCATCCCAAGCATCAACCACAACAACATACAATATCCTATGTTAGCACTAGGTCCGGTTTAAAAAAACATAGATAAAAATATAAAAGAAAAGAAAAAAGTAAAAAATGTTGTTACATCCAATATTATAAGAATGTGTAGCCTTCGTGGAGAAAGTATTTTGAGTATTTTAAATACAAAATGACTCCACTCAAAAGTGGAAAATTGTTACAAATTACATTTGCTTTTTATCAGCCTTATCAAATACAAATGACAAAATACTCAAATGTAAATGAAATACATATTTTAAATACAAGTAATAGATATACTGCCCATCCCTGCCCCTGACCCAACGCTTTACAGAAACAACGAGGAAGAAAGCAAGGAGTATCTAGACTCTCACCCTCTCTTCAGCCAGTTTGAGCTCCTGAGCTCCAGGAGGCACTATAAAGCCCCTCTGGCAACCACAAAATGCATTTCAGAGGTCCTTGATCAAAAGTGCCATCAGTATCCCTAACTCAACAAAGTGACTCATGAGTTACAAACCACAGACAAACAATGAGCTGATCTAATGTGTTTAAGTGTTTTGTAACAATGCTCATCTTACTATCTGTCTGCTTTTTTACATTGTTGTCTTTTGTGTTTGGTGAGCCGTACACAAATTTCCACCCATGGTGCACAATAAAGATATATTCTATTCCAAATGGCACTCAGTCACCAAAACTTTGAGATCCCCTGATGTAAGATTTTAGTTTCAAAATACTGTGAGATGGTTAGTTTAGCTGTTGAGTTTCTAAAACTTATGTTCATATGTGTGTAACATGCTTAATTTACATCAGTAAGTTGTATAAGACACCTCTATTAAAAAACAGATGCACAACATTTGACTGAGGCTTTTTATATAGCACTAGATTCCAGAGCATCTAAAGGTTAAATTAACATTTTCTTACTCCTACTGGTTGTTAAAGCACTGTGTCAGTTAGATTTTTATGCTGCCTTTCTGAAGAAAAATCCACCTTTCCTCTGGTATTATTACTCTTCACTAGCAATGACCACGCTACAAGAGTATGTCGTTTAAATGTTTAATTGAAGACCAGGAGGTGTTAGTTGTTGAGGACTGGTGAATGGATGCAAGTGGGGGTGAAGGTGGAGGAGGGATGTTTTCTGTTAGGTTGATAAGGGATGATGTACTGGAGATCGGGCAGAGGGAGACTCAGTGTGGGAGGTGTTTTTCCACCCATTTACAGACCTCCCAGAAGGTACCTAGAATGAGACATAGGAGAGGTATGCACCAGAATGAATAAGAAGAAAAGAGGGGAGAAGGGAAGAGAGAATGAAGGAAGGTGGGTAGGGAGGATGATGGATGAAAGGGAGGGTGGGTTGAGAAATCTGAGACGAACCGAGCAGAATGGGTTGACCAGGTATAAGTAGGCTTGGCAGGTAATCAGAGGTGTGGGTGAGGCATGGCTCTGCTCCTGAACCTAAGTTTACAGATTAACTTCATTTATTTCTAGGTGGGTCTCCTTACTAATATGTTGCAATGCATGTTATGTGTTACGCAAATATATTATCTGAATAATCCATCTAAACATTTCATGCTAGAATAATCTTCACATATGAAGAGATAGCAGATGGGATGACGCATCACACTGACTCCAATCCAGTTGTACACTAAACACACAAGATCTCAAATCATTAACATGCTCCTACCATGTCATACATAGTCATTTAGTGTGTTATATTTATCATGACAGCCAGGATATTTGCTGCAAATACATGAACTGTATATGTAAACCATTTAATCACATGCACTACTCCTGGCAGGGAGATAATCTCTCATGTCAGTTATAACATATTATAGGCATTGCTTCCTTCTGTAGATTAATCGCTCAAAGGTCAGGATTCATGTCAGTCTTAATACAAAAGTAAATATTGATTGTAATAATGTTCTGCCATAAACAATATGACAGGCATGTTACTTAAATGCCCCAATAACTATTTGTTTTCTTATTTATTTTATTGGAAACCAGGGTTGAGTAAAAAGGCAGAGATGCATCAAGTAGTGGTGTTCATGGCGTTCTTGGTTTTCACCACACGGAGGCACACTGGGTCTCTTGTTTGGAGCTGTGAAGCCGTGACGCCAGACACCTCCTTCCTCTGCCGATGACTCATAGATGGTGCCGCAGCTTTCATGATGAGCCACTAGATGGTATCAGCAGAGAACAGGATATTGTGTTTCCTATCTAGATAACATGGGAGATCTTACTGGTCGTAATAAAATGCAGCAAATACACTTCAATGAACCTCACAGTGTGTGACAGTGTTGCAGACATGAGGAATCAGAGATTATTGATTTTTTATAAGGAATATGTGTCATCAGTGTATCAGCCTGGTTATTTTATGTAGTTTATCATCATGCAATATATAATCTTTATTGATGTTACACATTTTTTATCCTGTGGCCTATGATCTTCATATTTACATAATTAGTTTAATAAAAAGCCCTTTACTCCCACACGCAGAGAAACATCAATGGAGAGGAAGCTCTCCTCCCATCTGTCTCATCTCTGAATGCTTCCCACTGTACATCTGCACGTGACAGGGGTGTGTGTGTGTGTGTGTGTGTGTGTGTGTGTGTGTGTGTCTGTTGGGTATGCGTGAAAGCCCTCAAAGCACCACTTGACATGCTAAACCTGGGATTCTGTAAATCAAAGACCATAGTCAAACCAAAGCTTTCTCTCTTCCCTCCGAGAGAATTACCATGAGCTCACGTTTGTAGCACATTATGTAATCAAAGTGTTGGTGGAAGTGGGGCAGTCAGGTGACCACCACTGTTGTGCAAATCCAGTCAGCTCAGAACATGAATCAATACTCCAGTTAAGTGGTGTGTTAAGTTTAATTCATATTTTGAGATTTATTTTTATACAGAAGCACCACGTACAATAACTCTTGCTTCATACACTGAATCCAGTAAATCTACAAAATGCTGGGAAGGTGTTGTTGGCAGGAAATATTCCTTTGTGCATTGTTTGACATCATTGTCACGCACTATTTCCTCCATCCATCACTGTCTTCTGTCAATGCAGGCTGCTCTATTGCAAAAAATCTGAGAGCAGGTCCAAAATCTCTACACTTCCTGGATGAGAGTTCAACTGGAACAGCAATCATGTGGGTATGAGAGGCCACAGGTGGTGTTTGTGTGTTGGTTTACAAACTCTGTATATGGTTGTCTGTTGGAGGCAGGTGCTGAAATGGTGGTGTGGTGCAGTGTGACGATGATATTATGCCTGTTGCTGTGTGTCTGATCAGTCCATGGTTGAGAGCATTTGTGTGTGTGCAGGTTTAGCTCTATTCCTCATTCTGTGTTAATCCCGATGCTCTGCACATCTGTGTCTCCCCCACTCACGTGTGCAGACAGATGAGCTGCGTGGCTGGATTCTCACTGCACGCATCTCGCTCCTCTCTCCCTCTCTTACTCCTCCACATTCACAGTTCACTTGCATTATTATACGCATCAGTAGTGGACCATGGGAACATTGTAGTTGCACTCTAAGGAAGGACACTCGTGCACAGCGGCATGCTTATGAATTCTCTATTGTGGTCACCATGTAATATAGAATAGGAAAAAAAGGCTTTCTTGATACACTTCACCTCGTAAATAAAATGAAAATTGAAGAGGAGGGCAATTTAAAGGGTACGCCTATATTATCATGATGAAGGACGA